GATGCCTGTGAAGCGACTGTCATCACAACTGATGTCAGAGTGAGATAGAAACATGTAACAGATTCCCCATTTTCTGTATGTTCTGTGAAGACATCCTGTGTGGGAAGTATGTAACACATGAGATTTATCTGTATTGTTCTGAGACTGAACATTTTTGATTTAGTAGCCATGTGTGTATTCTAGAGGCCTGAGACACATCTCATCCCAGAGATCTGCTCTCCTGATGGAGGTGTTTCTTAGTTTTGCTAAGTCACAGAATAGTTCCTCAAATTAGGCCCAACAATCTCCTTTGCATTTTTCATTATTCACTAATGATCCATCATTGATTGCTGTAGAGTCTAGCAGAGGATAAGGTGCAAAGTGTATGACCAGAAGTAGCCAAGGGGCATGAAGCTGGGAAGGGCAGAAGGCCACACACACATGTCAGTGCCAGTCTTCTTCTGTGTTTGGGTATAGCACTCTGTTGAAATGGTAAAGAGTACTGGCATTTTGGAGGACTTTCCTGCCACTTGATATTATCGCAGCAGGTGAAATGTGAGCAGCAGTCATTGATCAGGTGCGAATGAGTTCGGTCAGAGAGTGACCAGCAAGTTTGTGCGTCACTACAGGTTAAGTGCCTCTTGTAGTATCGAACTCAGTGTCAGGGGATCATCTTGATTTACTGAACTTGTGGGTTGGTTAATGCACTTCATAGTGCACTCAGATTTAGAATCTATATTGCTTGATCTGTGCTCTCTATGTTGGTAATCCTGTAAGGGTGGCTGTTCCCAGTGATGAAGGATGTCAAGTTTCTGAGTGAACAGTGGCCACACAGCATCTTCCTCTCTATGGATCTATGTACGAGGGTTGGAACTTTAATAGTGGCAACACTGCTGTAGATACCATGCAAAGGAACCAAATAATGTCGCTTATACCACACGTTAGTTACATACCTACCTTACCTCAGAGCAAATGGACTCTCCCTTCCCACATCATGAGCATGCGCAGTGACGAGAAGAACAGAGCCTTGTGTTAGCTGGCGGTCTAATGTAGTGTTATAACGATTTGACCTTCCATACTAGTAATAAAAACATTTAAAGCAATTTATGCGTAATTTTATCTGTATATACCATCCTACTGCTACCGTAAAGTCTGAAAATAGAGCTACCATGCAGACTTCAGGATAGTAGTATAGGCAGCATTTTAACCTTCACTAGCCTGTGATGTATTAGAACTTCTAGTCCTGTATGAAAATAATGATGGTCAAAATTTTAAAAGTGCATATAATATCGACATTTTCCTGCAAGTCAAAATGCTATTTTATTCCCCCCTCCCAGTCACTTTTGGTCATTCAACTCTATGAAGTCCAGTGTTGTGCCCATTTTATTAGATATTAAGTATGATTTTTGTAAAGCACAATAGACCTAAGGTCGCGGTGCAAGGGCCGAGAAGGCCTACCCCTCATATATTCTATTCTATGATTTTTGTAAGATTGGATGCTTAGGTTAAAACGCCAGATGGCTGGCCAGAAGGTGAGGAGACAGAACCACGGCTGACTTCGCATTCCTTGTCAGTTGATTGAGTTGTATTTAGAAAAGATTGTGTACGCATCAGTGGAAAGGCCCAGTCAGGTTTTGCTTCGCGCGACAGGAAATGTCCAGCAAGATGCTGACCTAAGGGATTTTGCAGAGCAGCCTTTCGTGACTTGAAAAAAAAGTTGAATTTTGGGATTGGGAAAAAAGGCCGTTTCAGACATTCTGTTTCTAGCAGTTGCAAGGAATGGACAAACTAGAACAAATGTGCCTGTGGGAAAACTTTGGGATGGCGCCAATGTTCTTCATGTTCATCATGTTCAGCACGAGTGAGTACTTACCCATGGTCGGGTCACTGATTGCTTGTTACAAATTCTGGTTCAGTGGTGGTTGAGAGGGAACTAAAAGGTGTTGGTTTGTACCATTTCGGTTTAGCATATTATGGATAGTTCAATGGTAGGAAGTGTAAAAGAGGGGTGTAGTCGAAGGCTGTGTATGAGGGGATAGGTTGTTTGTTGTAATGGTGTTTTATTTCATTATAGTATATTACTTTATTATTGTTGGTTTGAGTACTCGAGTTTTTGTGGATCCCCTTATGTAAGCAGGTTTACCACCACAGAGGTTAAGAGATATCCACGGACGTTCGATAGGGGGTGAGTACAGGCACTGACCCCTATACGGGCACAACACCAGTCCTGTTATGGGGCAGGAACAAAATGTGAATGGACATCTTGAACTTAGACGGCAGAAGATCTGTCACTTTGCCAACTAGAGAGTGGCTGATACCTTCAGGACTATCCTAGTACCTGGATAAAAATTCAACAAATTTTCAAGGTGCAGGTTTATGGCAAATGTCAACAAAATTGAGATTTTGTATTTGGGTATTAGCATCACCATGGAGGTATAATCCACTTTTGCTAGTCTGGACGCTATGACATCCAATCAAGCGATGGGGGCAGGAAAAATTGCGATATACCGGTATCGGACTTCAATCACGTGATCGGGCCAGAACAAAATAGCGATGGAAGTGGGTAAGGAACAAAGCTGGCAAGATGATTCACTTTGCCGACTACAACACTAGAGGGTTCCTGATACCTCCTCAACAATATTAGTACCCGGATAAAATTAAACTCTTTCCGAACTACAGGTTTACAGAACTTGGCAACAAAATTGAAATTCTGTATCCGGGTATCAGGATCACCAAGGAGGTATAATGTACTCTTTTTTTATATTGCTGGTGGGGTGGGACTAAGTCCTTTGTACTGCGGCCACTTCTGGCCTATTGTACCAGCCCCAGATGATACACTAGGGTGATTGTAGAGCAATTGGTGGAATGAAGATTGGCAGGAGAAACCGAAGTGCTTGGAGAAAACCTTCCCCAGCGCCAATTTGTCAACCACAAATCCCACTTGACCAGACCCGGGATCGAACCCGGGCTGCCGCGGTGGGAAGCCAGCAACTAACCGCTTGAGCTATGGCACGGCATTAGTTTTCAGAATTTGGACGCTGCAACGTCCAATCGCGCAATGGTGGGCGGAAACAAAATGATGGAATTCGGAAAAAACTTTGCCGACTACAGCACTAGAGGGCGCCTTATACCTCCTCCATTATCCTATTACCTGCATAGAAATTAAACATTTTCCAAGCAACACATTTACAGAAATTGGCAACAAGATGGAAATTCTACATCCTGGTATCAGGATCACCAAGGAGGTATAATGCACTTTTAATTTTTTTTTTCAAAATCTGGACGCTATGACATTCAATTACGCTATAGGGGCGGAATGGAATGGCAAATGCTGGAATTCTGCGTCCTATCGCGTGAACAAAATTGGCGACGGAAGTAGGTAAACAATGTAGCTGGCAAGATAATTTACTCTGCCAACTCGAACGCCAGAGAGCGGCTGATACCTCCTAAAACGTCCTACCCAGATAGAAATTCACCTTTTTTCGTGCAGCACGTTTACAGAAATTGGCAACAAAATGGAAATTCTGTATCTGGTTATCAGGATCACCAAGAAGGTATAATGAACTTTTAATATTTTTAGAATGTGGAGGCTACGACGTCCAATCGCGCGATGGGGGTGGAAACAAAATGGCGATATTGCAGCATTGGACATCCAATCGCTTGATGGGGTGGAACAAAATGGCAATTGAAGTCGTGAAAATTTTAGTGGGCAAGATGATTCGCTTTGCCAACTAGAGCACTACAGGGTGCCTGATACATCGACTATCCTACTACCAGGATATAAATTCAAATGTTTTTCAAGGTCCAGGGTTACGGCAAGTGGCAACAAAATGGAGATTTTGTATCCAGGTATTACATCACCGTGGAGGTATAATACACCTTTTTTATAATACTAATTTGTTTCCAATCTGACGCTACACCGTCTAGTCAGGTGACGGGGGGTGGGAAGAAACACGATGGAAGTCCTATTACCCGGATCCAACAGTTATTTCAAGGGCCAGGATTGTGGAGAGTGGCAACAAAATGAAGATTTTTTTATCCATGATATGTATACAGTTGCCGTCTTGTAGCGCACTCAGTTTCACCTGTTACTTCATGACATGTTTCAGCAACATAGTGCCATCATCAGGTGCCCTAATTACGCTAATCTATTTCATTGCTTGCCTTTATAAAATTATTTAAAAAGTGCATATTTGTCAACTATAATAAATTTACACATACTAAAACCTTAGCTGCGGGAACACACATCACAAGACACGGTTTACACAGAATATAAGAAAAATGACCCCCATAGTGGAAGAACCACACGCAAGTTTTAATTATGACACATAAGATGAATAATCTTAACAAGTTTTAGTGTGTGTAAATTTATTATAGTTGACAAATATGCACTTTTTAAATAATTTTATAAAGGCAAGCAATGAAATAGATTAGCGTAATTAGGGCACCTGATGATGGCACTATGTTGCTGAAACATGTCATGAAGTAACAGGTGAAACTGAGTGCGCTACAAGACGGCAACTGTATACATATCATGGATGAAAATCAGTGCAACAGGATGCTAAAATACAACATTAAGATTTTTTTTTGTCTGGGTATCACCATGGTACACTTTTAAAATAATAATATCGCCATTTTGTTTCTAGTCAAGACCCCACACCATCCAATCAGGTAATGGAGGTGGGAACAAAATGGTGATGAAAGTCGGTAGAGAACTTGGCTAGCTAGATGTGCCACTTTGCCGACCTGAGCACCACAGGGTGCCTAATACCTCAACTATCCTAGTACCTGGATCCAATTCAACAATTTTGGGAGGGCCAGGGTTACAGCAAGTGGCAACAATATAGAATTTTTTTTATTTGAGTATTAGCATTACCATGGTGGTACAATTCACTTTTTAAGATACTGATAATGTCGCCATTTTGTTTCTAGTCGATGCTACAACATCCAATCGTGTGATGGGGATGGAAACAAAATGGCTAATGCCGGTATTCTAAGGCCAATTGCGAGAAGGCATAAAGTATCTTTAAATGTTTTATTCTATAAGTAAAGTGCATTCTGGGTGGAGGTAGTATAAACATTGTCTTAAGACTTCACCTTGAATTCTTTTTTGTAACATTTCTTTGTATTTTCCTTTAAATATTTCACATTAATCTTCTCAATTCATAAAATTCTGTTTATGGTTATATGACTGCACTATGTGCCAATTTATTTGTGCTGTGAAGTCACATATTTTTGACAGTTCATGAGAGGAATAAGGAAGGACTGGCCTGTAGGTAGGTGACATACATATTTTCAGACTGAAGCTTTTGAAAACCATTCATATGTAAATTACTCCTTCTGTATATACCAAAATAATTCAAAACCCTGTTGCCACTGAAGAGCTCTCTCTTCTGGGTTGTCACATTGACTGTGCAGTCTGGTAGATGTTCTGTATTTTGAATGAACATGATGTTTCAGTCTTTAGGTTCAAAATGTCTGTGAACTATGTCACCTTACATAGCATCACATCCCAAAAGACAGTACCCACCATATCTGCTGCTGTGAGAACTTTAAATCCAACCTGTCTCCATTGTTTACATCATTGTAAATGGCACAGATTTAAATTTAAACTATATTAAACGTTTGTTGTGTCTGTCCATCTTGTAAGAATGAACTGAAAATATAATCACATTACTGGTCAGTAGTTTTCCATATGCAATGTCAATAACAATAATAATAAGGTCATCACATTCTTGAAAGAAAGGTGCTATTCAGAATGTCAAAGCAACGTGTAAGACAAAATTTGACAAAAATGTGATGAGGAAGAAGAAAATAATTTTGTACCATAAAATTGTGTGCGCTGCAACCTTTCTGTGACAGTGACTTTTTTCCATATATATTAAAGTACCTAAAGTCATGTGTCAACATTTTGACTATACTTTCAAAGCCACAGAACTCCCTGGGGGAGGGGGTGATCTATATCTTAAGGTCACATCTAATGACTATAAGGAAAATAAGAGAAACACATTTAATTATCATTGTCACTGTTTCACTTTTTATCACAAATAACATCTAAAGAACTCCACTGTCTAGTTACCTCCGATGCAGTCTATTAGAAACTTTAATAACCTTAGTACCAGGTTTTATCCCATCTTGCATTTCACTTTGTTGTTTGCTAGAACGTATGGAGTCTACAGGAACTTCACTAACAGGAGCAGACTTGTCACTAACACCTGTGTTTTGCTGAAAAAGATCAGACACATCCACAATTCTAGAGGGTGACACACTCCGTGTGGGAATGTAAAATATGTTGCGTGCTTTTGAAGCAATATTTGGTGCTTCAAAAAGAGCTGTCAGTCCCCATGCTTCATCTGCTTTCTTCTGAGATGCCATTAATGGAGATTTCTCTGGTGTCAGAGCGACTGATTCTAACATCCATGCGGTATTGCGGAATTCTATCCTTAACCGTTCTGTTTCATCATGGCTCACATTCTTGCTGACATTAAGGCCTCGTTCAAGAGGATTGACTATGTACAATGGTGAGTGGTCTGGTTTAGGTACTGATACTCCACTTATCAGAGATATGGCACAGGTAGAAAAGTCAAAAGAAGAATAGAACTCAAAGAAGCCTATAAAGAGTGTTTCAAGGCTGTTTGTATTTGGGAGCTTCCTGACTGATGATGTCATGTGCTGACAAAGCTGAGACACATCTCTAATAAATGTACAGTTCACCCCATCTGAAGTAACACGATGATCCCCAGGACCTGTAAAGATACATATCACATCTCAACATTGGTAGTCCATTAACATACTGCTCTGTACAAGGCCTGCAGTAGATAACATAATTTATTTGTTTATTTCTGGTTATATCCCAAATACAAGTCAAAAGTGTTCATGTATGACAAATCCTGTCTGTTAATAACAAAATGACTGGCCAGTACTCATTCTCCTGACTTAAGACTTATATCATTTGATTTTCAGATGAGAATACAGAACTCTAATCATTCAGCTATATAATTTATGCCTGTTTGCTGTGGAGCATTACTGCATAACGTTTCATATACATTTTCATTGCTGTTGCCAAGTGGTTGACTCCACTAAATGTCAATCTTCTGCATGTCTCGAGGGAACCTACCAGAATTTTGAGCTCCTGCTTGCAGTCTGTTGCTTAATCTTAACCATATTTAAAGTAAATCATAACAAAAAAAACTGACCTGCAAGGGATATCATCCTACTGAGGGTTGGTAATACTGGGCTGAATTTGCTGTGTTGCTGCAAGTAGAACAGAACAAGCAATGTGAGGGAGAAGTTGGTGATCCACCGTCCAGGTGTGGGGTTGGTGAGTCCAATCTCACGTGCCCAGCTTCGCACCGCAAACACAAGTGGTCTCACACGCCAGTCTAATTCTCCCAGGATGTACAACAGCTCACTCATGTAAACAGCAGACCTTAATGTTTGGAATATCACAACTTTCTGCTTTCAAGAAGTGTAAATTAGTTATGTATCAGCAATCAGAAGTGGATCTGACAACGAAGTATACAGCCAAATCAGGTAATATCAAGTTATATAATTTTCNTGTTTATTTATGTGCAAACTTAACAGCACAGTGGCCAATTACAAAGTTAGCACGAGTACATAGAAATACACAAAAATTAAAGAGCAAAATACGACACTCTATACAATATCAATAAATTATTAACAATTCCAAGAAAAGAAAAGAACAGAAAAAAAGTTAGCTTTAACAGGCGAGAAAAATAAAATAAGTACATTTTGAATGGTTATTCCATTATGTGATCAGAAAGGACACATAGTTAGGACACAGGACATAGAAGTTAATAATAATAATAACCCAATTAATTCTTATTTATTCGTGTGGCAGCTCAACATTCTAATTTAAATCAATTCAATTCATGTTTAATTACGTACAACTTAACAGCACAGAGGCCAATTAAAGGTTAGAATGAGTACATAGAATTACATAAAATAATTAAAAACAAATACAGAATTTGAGACTCTACATAATGACAGTAGATTAATAATAATGCCAAGAAAAATAAAGTTAACGTTAACAGGAGAGAACAACAAAATAGGACCACATACACAGAAGTAATATTAAGAGTATCATTAACAAATAACATTAGCAATTTTAGGTTCAGTGTCATTGACAGAAACTGTTTTGATTGCAAATATGTCGAAATCTTTACCCACCGCGTTGGCAGCATAGGCGCACCGAGCAGAAGGACAGTGTTTATTAGAGGGACAAACACCAAACAATGAGAAGTCCCTAAGACTGCTGGGAGGAACGCGAAGGCTAACATTTTCCAAAAGAGAAGCGCAGGATTTAAGACCACGAAATACCTGAACAAGAAAAAGTGCATCAAGGTGATGTCTCCGTTTATGTAAAGACTGCAGACTTAATTTCTCTAAAGCATAAGCATAATTATATGAAATATGAGGGAAAAAACGATAAAAACAGACGGACGCAAACTTCTGCTGGATGCGCTCAAGCTTATTGGCATCAGTCGAGGTGATGGAATTCCAAACTACCGAGGCATATTCCAACTTGGACCTGACTAAAGTAAAATATAGTACATACAGACTCTCCATGGAGGAAAACCTGTAGGTAATGGAGCGAATAAGGCCTAAAAGCTTTATGCATTCAGAAAATATGTAATTAACATGTGTGTGAAAATGTAACTTTGAATCAAAGAAAACACCCAGGTCCTTAATACTGCTGGTGCGTGTAATGATATCATGACAAAGCTGATACTCGTAGCTCAGAAAAGTTGTTTTTCTGGTGTATGATACAACACGCGTTTTAGCAATATTAAGTTTCATGGAGTTAGCAGTGCACCAGTCACTTACGGAATTAATGTCAGATTGAAGTAAGAGGCAATCATGAGGAGAGTTAATAATGCGGAGAATTTTTAGATCATCGGCAAAAATTAGAAATTTACAGTAGTTAACAGAGTCGCATAGGTCATTTATAAATACGTTGAAAAGAAAACGTCCCAGAACAGAGCCTTGCGGCACACTGGACGTTACATGAAAAGGCAGGGAGAGAGTGCCAGAAACGTGAACCCGAGATTGTCTGTTGGCTAAGTAACTGTGAAACCAGCTAACATAAGCATCAGAGAATCCGAAGGAGCTTAATTTATGCAAGAGCATATTATGAGGAACGAGGTCAAGTCATTAGAAAGATCAAAATAGACGGCATCAGTTTGATGCTGACCGCGGACAACAGGCATCAAGAAGTCGAGAAACGTCACCAAATTGGTAACTGTAGATTTAGTTCTGGTAAAGCCATGTTGGTTGGAATTAAATTCAGCGAAATGAGAAACATGATCATGAATAATGAATTCAAACAATTTAGAGAAATTACTGATAACAGAAATAGGCCCGTAGTTGCTCACAGCAGCAGGATTGCCTCTTTTAAATACCAGTACAACAGCAGATTCTTTCCATGCAGCAGGAAAATACTGCTGCATCAGGCTCAAGTTAAATATATGCCTAAGTATAGTAATAAAAATAAAAATATCAAGTTATATAATTTTCATAACCTTTACTAAGCAAGCAACCATTGGTTTATAAGCTGCATTCACTTTATTCTACATATATTTCAATTATAAAGTAGAGCTACAAAAGTACATACATGTTAGTCATAGACAGGTCCCACTCCACACCTGTCAGGCCCTGGTGATACTTGATGATGGGCACTCGGGCTTGAAAAATGCGCCTCACATGAGAACAGCCTGGCAGAAGCAGCTGAACCACATCTCCAAGCGTTTCCATGTGGCGCTGCACCTGTGTGCGCCCATTTGTTAGCATTGTCTTGGCATGAAACACCAACCGACAGTCGCTACTGTCCTCATCCTGCAAAGACCACACATTTCATTACCTGCATGTCTCTGCCCTTCAGTAGGCACTTTCATTCGCTCAGTTTCAATTGCAGGAAAACATTTAACCAGCCTTATATACGTAGATAGCGGAGCAACTGTGACTTTCTTAGGTCACATGTTACAGGTGGTAATGAAGCCATCCTCAATGAGGTTGGCTGAACCATGGCTCTGTCTTTGGTGGGGACGCATCATGGACCAGGGATGCATTGGGACACCTCCTCGTGGTCCCGCTGGGCAATGACAGTCTCAGGGTCTGCATTAGTATGACCTACCGGGTCTGGCGGCTAAATTCCCATAAAGGGCAATGGCATTATGACTGGAGCCTCCCACGTGGCAGCATAATGACTCTTGGGTATCACTACAGTCTACCCAGGACGAATGCGGGAGAGCACTCCCATAGGGGTAGCTTCAGCTATTTGAGTTGTCTCCCTACAGTACCAATAAAGTGCCGTAAGCCTTAGAGCTCAACACTCTAGAACAATCTGACCAACATATGTGGAGGGGTGGGAATGGGGGAGCTCATAAGCTACCCCCAGGGGCGACTTTCTCATGTAGGTTGCCCTGGTCACAACCTCATGACCTACTGGTGTCGCACTCCCATTAATCATCTGGGATACCCCTCTCCCCCCGAACAGGCACTCTTGGTACTGGAGGCTTGTGAGGGTATCATTCACAACAGCACCAGACCATCTAAGCCAAGGTGTGGGGCATTGTGCTGAGGGCTGCATGGCACTGGGGTGGTAATTAGCCAGTGTCTTGAATGATCCCCTTGGGGCACCAGACAGCACCCCGTTGTATTTATGCCTTCCACCGGTATGGGGCGCTGTGGGTGGTGACCTTTTAGATCCCTATGACTCGTGGGACCAAAAGGAAAGGAACCAAACTAAAGACTGGTCGGAAGGACCTTAAACTGAAGAGGGACCTCCTCCAAGGGGATCCCTATGAGAAATGCTTCAGCAGGGGGCTGGAAGCTCTGGTAAACCACTAAGGGACCCAGTTGCAACCAGCAAACCTGCTGTTGAACTTTCAGCCAAAGGCAGGGACGAACCAGTGGTTCAAAACTACCTGAGGTAAAACGAAAAATTCCTCTCTTGGGAGCCAGTAGTACTGACATACCACTGCAAGGGGCTAATACTTCTAGCACACCAGCAGCAGGAGAAAGATTGGGACACCTAGTTTCTGCAGTAGGTGGACTCCATCTAGCGAAAAAAGCCTTGTCTGGATGCGCTAGACAGAAGTTGAATAAGGCAAGAGCTGGGGCAAGCAAAGCAGGAACTGGGGGCAGTCAGCAACCAGGAAATGCAGACTCACCCAAGCAGGGAGAAACTCCCACCAGGACCTTGAAGAGGCCAAGGTCAGAGGGCCATACCCCTACAGAAACGGCCCAGGGACTTACAACGAGGCTCTGACCAATATAAAGGTAGCTACCTTCAAGGAAACGTATGCTGAAGACAAGCTAACAGGGAGACCAGGACTCCATGCTGGAGGAATTGGGACAGGCGTTACGTAGGACTCCTTTGGGAGAGCAACCACGCCTGAAATCATACAGACTGGAGGGAGGTGCATTAATATATACATGTGCCAAACAACAGTCTGGATAGTGGCTCATTAGAACTATAGATAATCACAGATTAAAATCAGGGGCTACGCTGATGATTACTGATGCCAAGAACCTGCCCAAAATCCTGCAGAGCTGCTGAAATGGATCGGGAATCTTAATCCAGGACTCCATACTGAGAGTTGAAGAATACTGGATAGGAAATCTGAACCGAAAGGGCAGAGATTGACCCCCCTTATAGACCAGGATTCCCTATGTGTTACCATGGGAACTGGATATAGGGTATACACAGGACTCTCACAGGGAACTGCTAGGGTCCTGTAAGATCCTGAGGCACAGCGGCACAAAGAAGTTGCTGTGCCCAGTTCAATACCCTCGGAATCGTCCTCTGAGGGGGAGGGGGATGGTGCACCCACTCCCTCAGTTGACCGGAAGAGAGTATCTGATGAGAAGAAGACAATGCCTCCTCTTGTGAACCCGATCTTACCAGATCAGGGACCTCCCTTGGAGGAAACCAGGTCTGATAAAAGAAAAGGGGCTGTGGAAGAAGGTATGGAGGAGGACACCTTTCCCAGCATTACAGAATGAGCACATAACACACATACATACACAACATACGTTTCATTCAAATTAATCTACACCTCAGCAAGGCTGCTACGGCAATTTTATGTCGACAACTTGCTGAGGGAAAAGTAGACATAGCACTTATTCAGGAACCTTGAATATATAGGGGCCAAATAAGAGGCTTAACGAATTCAGGGGGAACAGTTTATTCTGTCATAATTGGAGAAAATGTGAGATCATGCATATATGTTAATAATCATATTAATGCTTTACCCTTGCTGGAGTGTTGGTCTAGAGACAACAATGTTGAGGATGACATCCACATTGGGTGGAGGCTGTGAGAAGCTCATCGTCACTTCAGCCTACCTTCCATATGACTCTGATGAACCATCATCTTCCAAAGAAGTGAGGGACATTGTTGAATATTGCCATCTTAGGAAACAGCAGCTCATCACTGGGTGTGACACCAACGCACACCACACACTGTGAGGGAGCACTGACATCAACCTAACATGAGAATGCCTCATGGAATATTTGGTGAGTTTGAACCTTAATATTCTAAACCAAGGTAATGAGCCTACCTCTGTAGTTTGCAATAGGCACAAGGTTATCGACTTGACAATAGAGACCAATAAAATAGGAAACCTGATCAGTAATTGGCATGTATCTCATGAGCCGTCCCTATCGGATCACAGATATATATGCTTTCAAATAAGCAACATTACAGTAGATCAAGCTACTTATAGGAATCCTAAGAGAACCAATTGGGAGTCTTACAAAGATGACCTAAAGGTAAATCCAGAGACCATCTTGTGAAATATACTGTAACGTGTTTGGAATAGGCACTTCCATGGTAATGCAATAACAATGAGCTGTTGCGTAGACAATGCTGAAACAATGAACGCGTTTCCCCAGAGATGAACAACAGAAGGCCCACTGAGTAATAACGGATGAGACGAAACATGTTACCGGTGTATAAACAGCGTTCCCGAAGCAACGGATTGCTGAACAGATGAGATCGAACCTTCGCGAGGGGTGTCCTCTACTGAGTCCACAGAACACCTACATAAGCCGAGAGCTACAGACAGCAAGAACACAGTTGGAACCTAGTCGCCATACAATACAGACAGAAGACAGTCTTGGAATAGCTGCAGCCTAGGATAGTCGAGACGTCACATATCACGTGATACCACAAGTGATAACAATTGTATAGCGTGTAAGTGTGAGTGTCCAATAAAGATTCGCTAAATCTGAGGCCCACATAAAGTTATTTGACACATGACACACCCAACACGTGACAATACACACAATAATGGATGTTGATCAGTCCGCTGACCAGTTGCAACGGGCTATTATCTCGTCCTTTTATCAGAATTGTCTGGCTAGGACCACTTGCAAACCAAGGTGAATGCCTTGGTGGAGTAAACAGCTGAGTGGGCTTAGAACCAAAACGAGAAGGCTGTTTAATACAGCTAAAAGAACAGTGCAGTGGGACACCTACAAGGAAGCCCTTACCTGTTACAACAAAGAAATGAGGAAAGCCAAGTGTCCTCATGGAGGAGGCACTGCCAGGAGATCAATGATGTACCAGGCGGTGCCAGACTCATGAGTATCATGGCAAAACAGGCGACCAATAAGGTCAGCATGATTAAGCTGCTTAACGGACAGTATACTCAAACAGGAAGGGAGACACTGCACGAATTATTCAGGGTTCACTTTCCTGATTCAAAATTGATTGATAATTTGGAAGATGGACAGGGTCAGCAAAACCTGGACACTTGTCAAAGCAAGACGAACAGGGCAGACTAGAACCTGGCCAAAGTCATAATTACCCAATCAAAAATCAGATGGGCACTGAATACTTTGACCATTTAAGTCAGCGGGAACAGATGAAATTGTACCGGCACTTTTGCAGCATGGGGGGGAGCTCTTAGTTCCACACCTATGCCACATATATAAAGCCTGCATGAAATATGGTTTCATCCTCATGGTCTGGAGGCAAGTTAAGGTGACATTCATCCCAAAACCCGGGAAACTTGATTACACCAAGGCTAAAGCTTATCGTCCTATCAGCCTGCCGTCTTTCCTTTTGAAAACGATGGAGAAAATAGTGCACAGGCATATCAGGGGCAGGATGTTGAGGACATATCCTCTACACCAAAACCAGCATGCCTACTAAACAGGTAAATCTACCAAAACTGCACTACACAATGTGGTAAGACACAAAGAAAGTGGAATCGCACACAAGGATATTCCCTTAGGAGCATACCTTGACATATAGGCAGCTTTCGATAGAACCTCATTTGATATAATCAAACAAGTCGCTTGAAAGCATGGCATAGAGCCTGCAATATGCAGATGGATCAGTGCTATGCTGGAAAGCAGAACCATAGCTGCTACATTATCGGGAGAGACCCTGGGGGCATCTGCGTCTAGGGGGTGTCTGCACGGGGGCGTGCTCTCACCTCTGCTGTGGGGCCTCATCGTCGACGATCTCCTGTGGGAACTTAATGATAATGGGTATTATACAGTATGATATGCTGATGATATAGCAATCCTCATAAACAAAAAATTCCTTTTGACAGTATCAGAGCATCTTCAAACAGCTCTGTACACGGATCAACGATGGTGTGAAAGAAGAAGTGTTTCCATCAATCCTAATAAGACAGTAATTATACCATTTACCAGGAAGAGGAATATAAAGGGCCTTATGGAACCGACCCTCTTCAATAAAACGATCCAGCTTTCCAGCAATGTCAAGTGCCTTGGTCTAGTATTAGACAAGGGACTGATATGGAAAAAGCAGCTGGACATGCACAAGCACATTGTGCATTGGATATACACTGCAGTTGTAAGACCCATAATTACATATGGTGCCACAGTATGGTGGCCAAGAGTTAAATTCAAGACAAGCAAGGCAGAACTTAGCGAATTGCAAAGGTTGGCTTGCTTAGGTATCACAGGAGCAATTCAAACATCTCCAACGGCTGCACTGGAGATACTCTTTGGACTCCCCCCACTGCACATACAGTTCGAGGCAGAGGCCAGGGCAGGAATCTACCGTCTCCAGTGCAGTGATCAATGGAAACCTAGATCCGATAATTTCGGACATGCATACATAACTCAGGACACAAAAAACGAGCCCATATTACAAATGGGGTCTGACAAAATGATACTGAGACATGTATATGAAAAACCCTACAGAGTCAGATTTCCTGACAGGACTGAATGGGAAGACGGGTTTTGGCCCGATAGAAAAGGGGGACTCATCTGGTATACAGATGGTTCTAAGATCAATAAGGGCACCGGAGCTGGTGTGTACTGCTATGGAACAAGGCGGAAACTTAGTTTCAGCCTTGGGCAGTACATGACAGTATTCCAGGCAGAAGTATATGCCATTATGGCATGTATTATGGAGAGTTTAGATAGGAACTACAGAAATAGGAACATCTACATTCTATCAGACAGCCAAGCTGCACTTAAAGGGCTTGACAAACACCAGATAAACTGAAAATTGGTCTGGGATTGCCACCAAATCCTCATGGAACTGGCCAATCATAACAGGGTAGAACTGATATGGGTGCCAGGGCATGAGGGTATTGCTGGAAATGAAACAGCGGACCAATTGGCTAAGATTGATGCTGAACATCCGTTCATAGGACCTGAACCAGCCTGTGGCATCTCTATAGGAGTTGCCAGAAAAGCAATAAGGGACTGGACAAATATGAAGCACAAGAAATACTGGGGATACGTGACTGGACTCAGGCAAGCAAAGGGACTCATATGAGGACCCTCTGCTAAAAGAGCGAAGGAACTGTTGAAGTTAAACAGGAACCAACTATGATGGGTGGTGGGACTACTTACAGGACACTGTCACCTTAAAAGACACCTCTTCAAACTGGGACTAAGTAACAGTCCCAATTGTGAGAGGTGTCAAGAAGAAAATGAAACAGCCACACAGATCATGTGTGAATGTGAGGCCTTAGCTTATTTAAGATTATGTCACTTTGGTAAATACTTTATGGAACCAAGTGACTATTTCGACGCCCCCATGTACAAAATCCTACGCTTCATTGAAGCACAGGATAATCAAAAAGGGAAGCACAATAAATGACAGTAGGTTGCGGTGCAAGGGCCAAAAAGGCCAACCCCTTATACATTCATTCATTATATATGTAGATTATTTTGAGCTAGATTGTATATAGACAAAAGGACAGATTAATTGTAGGCTTCTACCCTGAAAATGGGCACAATATGGCTCTTCATACATTGGTACCCACCTTCTAGACTATATGATGTCAGAACATACAGACAACAAGTGTACATTTCCTAATCAGTGGATAATATTCTAATACTGTGCTGCTTGTCTTTGTGGTATTTATGATGGATATGCCCAAAATGTGAAATAATGGGTTTATGATTGACTCCGAGGTTTCTCACAGCTCTTTCTTTGACGATGAAATGGCAATTATATGTTTCACATACAGTTAAATATTTCATGCCACACTAACTTGCATGTGATTAGGCAAATAACCAACTGAAATAGTGTGAATTCAGATTTTTAAATTATATATCGCAGTCGGTATAGCAAGTGACTACAGGTTTGACAACTGAAGGGTGCAAGGTTTGAACCACGGTTTGGTCAAGAATTTTCTCTCTTCCATGTCATCTGGCTCTGGGGTTCACCCGACCTCCTTTCCAATGGGCACTGGGGGCTCTTTCCCAGGGGGAAAAGCAGCTGGGGTGTGAAGCTGACCATTCATCTCCAGCTAGTGCCAAGGCCAAGGCCAAGAAAATGTGGATCTATACATCCACTGCCAAATATGCCTTCATGGTGTAGTGCTTAATTAATTAAGCACATGCACAACTTTACCTTTACCTAAGCACTGTCAATAAAATGCACATTTTTGTGTTGTTGACAGCTTGTTAGTTGACCAATTTTATTGTAATCTGAGGTTGGTTAATCATATGAAAAGCTTGGGCTAAGAAAATTTTTTGCATCAGGCATAATGCAGAGGACATCAGTGTTATTCATGTGACTGAGTAATAATGTGTTTGATGCACTCCCGGTAATTATAAGACACTTCTTCACAATTATAAGTGGGTATAATGCAGACAGGAAATAAAATATTTTGTGTACAGCTGTGCTGTCCCATAAAATCCAGATTAAGTACAGATGGTGTGTGTTATGCTCTTCAATGTATGCTACTGGATTTTAACAATACATTGGAATACTTCACATTTTTGTTAAATGATTTCTTCTCAGTTCATCCATGACTTTCATTCACCACACTGTTTATTCAGTCTATCATAATCTGATTATACTGATTGATGTCCAAGCAATATATTAACAGAAGTAATATTCAGAATCTTACAGCAGTCTGCCTTTTGCCTGCCAAGAGAACAAGATCCAAATCGCAGGCTGTCTTGCCAAATCCATTGACAGAGGATCCAAATGACAGAACTGTTACTTGTGGAAACAGTCCGCTAAGAGCAAGCTCAATCTGTCGTGCTGTCAGGAAATGAAGCCTTGAACCCAGGTCACTCAATGAAGTAGCTCGATGAAGGATCAGTATCTGGTCTGAAAACTGAAAAAAGTGGTCCTGGATTGTATATTCATCATCAGTTACAAGAGGATATTCAATACACATACATAAGGGTGAAGTAAATGGAAGAAGAGAAAATATGATGGCTCACAGATGGCAACTGAATCAGGAGACAGAATTCAATCTATTCTCCTTCCAGACAGGTGACATCAGTGACTGAACCCCAGGCCTCTCAAAATATAAAGTAGGAATGGTAATTTACTTACTCATGGAGCCGAGCCCTTCTTGAGGAGCCACCAATTCTGCAGCTACTCAAGAATTTCCCAGCATTTTATGGAACCTGAAGGTTCATCACCATGTTCACAAGAGCCCTCCACTGGTCCTTATCCTGAGCCAGATCTATCCAATCCATACCATCCCATCCTATCTCTCTAAGATCCATTCTAATATTGTCCACCCACCTACGCCTTGGTCTTCCCTGTGGTCTCTTTCCT